GAACGAATTGCCAGCCTCTGCGTCTGCAACGTCCAGAATATGCAGCTTCCATCGGGCTTCTTCCACTTCCCTGATGCACCATGTTCACAAACCCGACGACAAAGATGGGAAACACAGCGCGCAAAGAACTGCAGGCAATCAAAAGTGAGATCATCATCGACCACGGTCATCACTCACCAAGAACGGTCAGGCGTTACCGATGCGAAACGCTAGGAAAACTTGATAACGCATGGTCCCGTTCACTTGCCTGTTGATGAAACCCTTAGCGTGTTTTTGGTCGATGTTGGCTTACACATTAAGATTATTGCCTGGAAGTTCACCAGGAAACGTCTCCTCCAAGAACATCTAGAACTCAACACAGATTTTCTATTATTGATTTCTCCGCCCAAATGGCCAATGTTAGCGCAGGTGAAGCAAAACCTGACTCCGACGACCGGTATTTCTTAAAACAACATGAAAATAGATAAGTTGCCCGCCCTCGCCGGTAGTAAGTCCAGTCGGGTATCACTTAGAATGCCATGAAAGGATGCCAGATAGAAAGGAACTCTTAGGAGCCTGCCCATTGCCAGATTGCGTCCTTCAGTCGGAGCGTCGCAACCGAGCGTCGGGTCTGGACCAGCGACGGAGTGGCTGCTTCTTTGACTTCGCTTGGGTGTTTGGTGGCGCCGGAGGTGAGCTGGAAGCCTGGACGTGGTGCTTTGCGCGGGCACTGGCGCACGGCAACAAGCGCCTGAAAAGTTTCAAGACTTGTCTCTTGCAACGAAACATAGCCTAGCATTGAAGTCATTTGAAGTCTGTCCTCAGTCAATGGCTGAAATTCTTTCAGCGTCGCGTCACAGCAGTGTTGACCAATGAAAGCCAATGGCCCAATGGCCAACGTTTCGAACGCATCCGAGCGCAAGATATAGTGCATCGATGTTGCGCAGACGGCGGAGAGGGTTTGATGATTGAAGAGCGCCAAAAGCATTAGCGTCGAAAGCGGCGTCGGCAAGCGCAGACGAGCTGGCAGTGGATGAATGGTTGCCGTTGCCGTTGTGAATTCAAGATGCTTGGCGCATTCAAGGATCCTTCACGTGTGACACGTGTGCCCCGAGAAATCTACTCTGATGTTGTCAAAAGCTGGATAAAGTTGGGTCATGTGAGGGTGATTGAGGGTGCTCTCAAACATTGGAAAGGCGCGCGGGCAGCGCCGTGCCTTTAGAAGAAAAGTTTGCAAATTCTGTTCAACTAGAACGGTCTCTTGTCTTCTTCCAAACCAATCACCTTTCAAGGCCGGGATCACTCGTAACCGTAGAACACTTTTCCGTTTTCTTGTATACAACTATTGCGTCTTTGATTCGTGAACTGCCGCAACGATTCTTCTCACTGCCCTCACAGTGCGTACGGCGGAAGGGATTCTCCGATTCTTGTCCGCGTTGCCGCGGGCTAACAAACTGAGAGCTCAGCTTGTCCTTGCGGCCCTGACAGCCTGGCAGGGTGTACAGGATTGTCCTTCCAATGCATAGATCTTCCGCCGCCGTGACAACGGGGCAACTATCGGCCGCCCTGACAGGTTGCGCAGACGTTTGTGCATGGTGTGCATTCTGGGGAGTTCGCAAGTGAGCTGTCGCAAAAGTATGAATGTCGCGGTTCTAACCTTGAGCTCCCTCCAATTCCCCGAGCGGCGTTAGTTAGTCTGTGTTGGTGGGTGGCATGAGGGCTGGACTGGGTTGTGCATTATTGCAAATCTCCACCAGGGCATTCCTCAAGGTTTGTCACAGATGCTGCGTGTTACCCTAGAGTAACTGTAGCAACTCCCAACCTTGCGTGCAGGTCATGCTACAAGATGCTTGCCTCTATAAGTAGTTCTAGATATGGTTTTAGAACCATGTTTCGCGATGAGGCGGCAAAAAGTCAGTGAACAAAAACATCAACGGAAAATAGCAAAACTGATTACTGTAACCCACTAAATATATGCGGGTTTCTTGTGTTTGCCTTGTCCGATGCCTTTTTCCCTTTGCTGCCAGTCTGCTGCTTCAGTTCACATCGGCTCCATTCATTTTCCTCGTTGGAGAAGTCGCGCGATCTGCCACGTCCCCCCAAAGTAGCCGGTACATGTTGTATCAAGAATCAATGTGGATGATTCTGCGAGAGCTGGTAAGAGTGCGTCTAGAATTGTCGCGAAGCAGGGTTCACAAGCACAGGCAACGATCTTATTTTTACTTTATGTTTACTTTATGTTTTTGGTGTACAGTCCGGGCTTTGGAACAAAGTAAGTTGAGAGCTGGAAACACGGTGGTTTGGCCCAAAGCGTTCGAATGTCCATGCTCATTTCAGACTAGGCTCACCCACTGTGCAAGATGCCGAAGGAAGTCGAAGGAGAGAATGCAGCGGCACTTGAATCTGACTTGAGCCTTGGCTCACTCTTCAATGTTGAAGGAAAGGTGGCTTTGATTACAGGTGGCGGTTCCGGCATTGGTGCCATGATCGCATCTGGATTTGTACAAAATGGATGCCGGGTGTACATAGCATCTCGAAAGGACACCTCCAAGTATGCTGAGGAGTTGACCGCACGAGGTCCCGGGAGCTGTGCTGCCCTGGTTTGTGATGTCAGCAAGTTGGAACAACAAAGAAAACTGATTGAACAAATTCAAAATGCTGAGGGCAAACTGCACATTCTGGTGAACAACAGCGGCACAAATTTCAATGCGCCTTTGGGAAAGTACAATCCGGAGATGTTTGACAAAGTCATGCAGCTCAACACCAATGCAGTATTTGCTTTGACACAATTGGCCACTCCTTTGCTTGAATCATCAAGCTCCAGGGAAGATCCAGGGCGAATAATCCATATCTCCTCAGTGAACGGCTTGCAGCCTCCTTTGATTGATACCTTTGCCTACAGTACTTCCAAAGCGGCGCTGGTCATGCTATCGAAGCATCTTGCTGGTGCCCTTGGGCCAAAACACATCACTTCCAATTGCATTTGCCCTGGGCCGTTTATGTCCCGCATGATGCGAGCAACAGTCAAGGCTGTTGGAGAAGACAACATTGCTGGCAGCACCTCCCTTTTGCGCCTTGGACAGCCTGAGGACATTGCAGGGGCGTGCCTTTTCCTTTGCAGCAAAGCTGGAGGATATGTCACTGGAACAGAATTTGCCCTTGATGGTGGTTCCCTGATTTGTCGGACGCCTAAAAGCAGCTTTTGAGCTCCTGCTTGGGATGAGCAAGGTCATGAGGCCCGTATTTGTTCCAGCCGGGTAGATATAGGAACGAACTTTGACAGACAAGGCAGCAATAGATAAAAAGGGAGCACTCTTCAGTGGTGGCATGAACCTTGCCCTTGCGAGAAGCAAACCTTAGCTCCTAAGCCATGTGCTTCTGTTATGCTTCGGCGACAGGTGAGTGGCGAACTTGGACTTCTCGGTGGCAGTATTCTTGGATTGGTTGTTGGTGGGCCGACAGGCTTGGATTATGCAACATCATACAACCCAATTTTGACCAGAGCGACTTTTAGGTATTGAATCCAAAAGCGCATGTCATGAATTCTCATGATCTTGTTGCACAAGTAGTTTGTCCGTTGTCTATTGACTTTCTTGGTTTCCGGACTTAGTCGAGCTGTAGGCCTCATATTGGGTGCTGTTGGCGGCATTGCTTTGGGTAAGCGCAATGACAGCATTGGCAAGGCTTTTCTTGGCCAAAGCTTTCGTCATTCATCTAGGGAATCCAGGGGAGCAGCAAAGCTCAGCAGAGCTGCGCCAGGTGATTCGCGGAGCAGGAACTTTGGTGAAAGGGATTTTTGATGCAGTTGGAAAGGCTGCGGGCAAAAGTCCTGAATGAATGAGCATTGGCTTTTTGGCCCTTCAACTTCCGTATCAACTAGTTTAAAACTATACATCATTTACAATCATTTGTATACATTGAGTTTGCAAGGTGCTGGAATCTAAGATTATTTGCTTTTGCTGCGTCATTCCCAGATTATACATGGTTTCGCAGCGAGAAGACAGCTGTCTTTCTCAGCTTGTGGGATGAACTCACGGGCACGCTTGCTAAGAATCCAAGGATAGTTCTCTCAATTTCTGAAAGTGACCGATGAACGGCTCACAGCAAGTCGGGCAGACATCTTGTTTGTATAGTCTTATATATAAATTATATGTATATACACAGTTTTCTCGAAAACATAGTACTCTTTGAAGCACTGCTTTGTTTATTTGCAAGATTCCAGTTTTCCCACAGCTGTGACCCTACCATCGTGGGAGCGCGCCAAGTCAGCTTAATCAGCTGATGCTCGACCGCTGTCGCAAATTATTTGCGTACCCGCGTTGGAGTACCTGCGCGCTCCTCCAAGCTTCGACTTTTTAAAGAGCAGGTGTCACTCAGCAAGAAAATGACAAGCCAAATATGGACATCCGCCAAGTTTAGGGACTGCCACTAGCCCTCGCCACTTGCCGTTTTGCTATCCGTTTCTCCCGTGAAGATTCGGGTACCACGAAAGGGCAAAGAAGATCAAACCAGTTCTTTTGGTGTCACTGATCAGGTGAGCATGTACATTGTCTACACAAAGGAGCTCTCCATTCTGCACGACAAAAGAGGCCTTAACATGTCTTAACTGGATAAGTTCCAATCAGCACTGCGTTGCAGCCGTTGTAAACCTCGCATTGCCTTAATACGGCTGCCAGCAAAAAATATCATAATGCTTAGGCCTATCACATTAATATACATTAATACATGGCAAACACCTGGAAGCCAATTGCAAGCACCGATCAAGCACTGCTTGTGATGTGTGAGTGTTTTTAAAGAGAACGAATGCACATGTACAGCACAACAATCCGCAAAAGGACATACAGCAGAGCTTTTGACAAGTTACTAGTGCTGTTTGGAAGCCGGCAATTGTGCTGTTGGTCGGGAATAGGTGACGGCAAGGTCCCTCAGCATAGGAATGTCGGCTATATTGCAAATGCTCCTTCGAATCCTGTAGAAGAGGCTTTGAAGGCTGAAATAACAGATTGATATGGAATACTATTTCAGAATGTCTCGCACCTGAGCCTCTGGCGTGCCTCTGGCATGGGCCGTGCCTGCTTCGTGTGGGCTTTACTGCTCGGAGCTGCCCACTGAAAGCATTAGTTAGCAAGGCATGTTGTACATCTTTGTAATTACAATAGTCTTCTTTTGAGGTTATGTATGAACTCTTTCAGTATTGTCAAGGCTGACCAGATGTGGAATGCATTCTCCGACTTCGACTGCACTATCCTTGGGGACTCTCTTTTGAACCCTGTTGGGACAAAGACTCGAATGCTTTTTGACAAAATTAATACCTTTGAGGTGTTTCACTTGTCCCGACGGGGGGTTGGGCTTGCCGTTCGGAACTTGATCCAAGTGTTGCTGTGTTCGGACGAGCTTAGACCAGTGCCAAAGAATTGAAGCCACTACCCAAAGATTATGTGTTCTTATGAGTATCAGATTTCTCCATTCTGCGCTGCTCAAGATAAGGTCCTGGTCAGCACAGCGTTTGGCACTTCCACCACAGAAGAAGTGGCAAACACTACCAGCACCACTTCAGTACGCAGACACTCTGCAGCTGCAGCTGTTGTTTTGTTGACAGTGAGTTGAAAGTTTCACATCAGTAAGTGAAGCGAGACATCCCTGGGAAGATCGGATAGGCTGACTATTTTGCAGGTTCCTGAGTTCTCATACTATGTTGGGGATTGGGCAGCTTGCTCGACGACTTGTGCAATTGGAAACCGGTTGAGAGAGGCGCTTCATAGAGTCTATGACAGAACCTTGCTTCAGGGGGATGCTATTACCTATTTATTGCATGAGCTGTGGCTTGAGTCAAATTGTCCAAGTATGTGGAGCCCCGTTTGTGCACAAGTGTTTGGTTGCAGGTATTTTGCTACAGGACATGCTCAATTCCTCGTTCATGCACATCAGGAGTCACAGACTTCCACTGCCCGGATCCTTAGCATGCTGTCCCCGGACTGCATGTGGTTCTGCGTGGAATGTCCCACTCATGATTCGGCTCCAAGCGCCTGAGCCAATATCCGTCAAACATGTTAAAAGAGGCTGCTACACAGTCTTGCTGCTGGTAACAACTTTCTTAGTGCAATCTAGTGCACCTTACGAGCCTGAACTTTCCTCGACACCTCCCACCCACTGGGACCCCGATCATACGTACCTGTACCTAGGATTTGGAGATATGTATGTTTCAGGTAGCGTGTTTCTCATCGGCACATACATATATACTCCAAACTGGCCTGAATTTGAGGTATGTATGTATCTGCAGCCAACATGTATCTTGGGGTGGGGCAGCTACCACCTGGAGAAACCTGCATACTAGATCATACTTGTACCTCAAAATGTTCATGTCCTGGTATGTATGTTTCTCCATGCAACATTATTTCAATCTGGGCTGAATTTGATGTACTGTACGTAAGTTTCTCCAGGTAATATGCATACTTCAAGCTGGGCTTCATTTGAGGTATGTATGCTTTTTTGAGGAAACATGCATGATTCGAACAGTGCGGAATTGGAGGTATGCAGATGCATGTTTCTCCTGGTAACATACATGCTCCCAACTGGCTGATTTTGAGGTATGTATGTTTCTCCATGTTATGTATGTGACCAGTTGCCACAATTAGTGTGCAGCCACTTTAGTTTAACTAGTTGATAAATCACATCGGGATATTTGTTTGGCTTTTGTTTAAGAGGCGGCATACAGCTAAAGTAAGCAATTCTGCAAAGCAGCGCTAGCAAATCCGCTAGAAAAGCGCTAGGTTTGAATGCGTCTCATATGAGCAGCATCGAAAAACCTCCATGATTAAATTACGTAACGGACTTGTTTTGGAGCTGTTCTTGAATAAGCCCTGCAGTGCTATCCGGTCCCAGGGTTTGAGATTGCTGTAAGGGATTGCTGTTGTGAGTAGTCTTACCACATGGTTTATTAGAGCGACTGAGTGTGGTAATAGGTACATCGTATTGTACAATCTCCAGATTGTTTCTACAGTGTGATTGTCGCTAGCGTAGCCGCTAGCAATCCGCTAGGTGACCTCTGTGAGTTGCTCCCCTTTTGCGGCCCAAATTGAATCTCCTTACTTTCAGTGTGTGGCTATGTTGATGCCTGTGGAGAATGTTGTCACAGTATGTAACAGTCAGTAACTCTTTGAAAGATTGCTGAAAGGGATCCAGAGTGGATCCAGTAACTCTTTGAAGGGCTCAAGTGGTATCCAACCCACGCTCCAAAGTGGATCCTAGTCTTTGTTCATGATGACTCTTGCCGTGGTGCCATTTGCAGAGCCACAGGATGTGCTTGGCATGTGCCAAGGCTGGAGCCAGTTATGCTTTTGCAAGCAAGGGCTTGTGGACACCCTGCCGCCACTCCGTGAGTGACGTGGAAGAAAGGCCTTCATCTCTTCTTCAGCCACGATGGCCTTTGGCCCGGTGTAAAGTGGATGGCCAACTCCAGAGCCAAGGGAGGGTATGCCAGATGAAGAGCCTGCTGCAGCCGCTCGAGGGAGATGGTGTCATAGAAAGTTGACGTATCCATCAAAGCCATAATGCCATGCTTGTTGGTGGCCTTCGTCGTGATCTCCTTCCTCATAAGCCGTGCCAATGCCACGTAAAGCACGTTGGCGCCTGGGCAAGCTTATGCGAGCTTTGTCGTGATCCATGGAAGGTGGTAGGTTGATTTGCCACTCATCCAGGATGTCCTTCCTGCGCCATACACGCTATATAACTACCGAGGTCAAGGTGATGGGCCGCTCAGTTCGAACATTCTTGGCCAGCGTCACCACCATGTGCATTCGGAGCTGGGTAGGAAGACATGCATCCTGTTCCGTTTGCTGGATGAGCTTCAGTGGTGGCAGGGACAGTGGCTGGCAAGCAGCTGCTGATGGGCCCACTCGCGCGGTCAGGCATGCTCTTGCACCAGTGTGTGTTATCCTGTCTGGGAATGGCCGTGCTTTCACCACGTGGTCGCGATAGGGCGCCTCAGTCTCTTGTAGCCTGACAGTCATTCGGTCTTCCGTGGACACGTTCCTGTAGGGTCGTTCCATCCATTGGTGGCTCGATACTGTGCTTCTTGTTGCTGGTACTGTAAGGTATGATGGCGGATGATGAATGTTCCAATGGTGACAGGTGTTGAGGAAGTGGCTCCAGGTGCATCCTTGATAACGCGCTGAAGCCTTTGGTGTGTCCTCCTGCCATTTGCCGTTGTAAAGTTGTTTGCCTTCACTTGTTCCCAATATGTAGGCAGGCTTAGCTCCGGCTTTGGGTGGGACCAAGAGCTCGGTGCCCGTGTGAAGCGTGGCTCCGCGTCCTTGAGCAGCTTTTGGATGGGCTTGGAGAAGGTATTGCATCTAGTGCGCCCAGTTTCGCGCAGGGTTGTTGACCTCATTGCTGTAAAGCTCAATGGTTGTGGCCTGGGGCGCGTATGCGGCCCCGGGTCGGAAGTCAATGTCTGGCGAGCGTGGCAGCTGTTGAAAGTACTAGATGTGGCAGTATTGGCGAAAAGTCTCCTCCAACTCGAAGCCAAAGGTGAGTAGCGCGGGAACTGCCCAGTCCGTTTTGGAGGTGCAGCCGGCGAGCTTGCGGTGGAGAGGGACAAATCCAGAACGACCGTGGCCCGGAATGCGTCAGGCTGGTTGTTCCAATCTCCCAGGACTACAAATGAGAGAGCCAAGTGATGTGTTTGGAATGTTGCAGAGTGGGCACATCTTTGGTGGCTCTGCGCTGGATCGCTCCCTGTGCCCATGTCGTTGACATTGCAGCTTGATTTCAATGACGTATGGCCTGCGTGCTTGGCTGGTTTCTCATGGATGTAGTGCTTCATGTCCTTGAAATGGCAGCGAGCCGCAGCCTCGCATGGTCGTAGATCTCCTTGTAATCGTCATTCTCAAAAGTTTCCTGCCAATCTTCTTGCTTGCGGTCACACAGTCTTGAGGAACATTCCTATGCTGTGAGGCCCGTGTCACGAAGATGGCTGCATAGTGCGTCGCGCGAGGGTGTCCCAGAAGAGTGTTCCACAAGAGTGTCCAAACAAGAGCACCGCGTACAAGACATGAGTGTCAAGCAATGTTTGGCCGTGCGTTTTCGATTGCGTGGATTCGAGTTTGTGGGCTCCATTTTGTTTGCGCGAGCGGTCTTTCACCTGCCATTCCGAAAGTCAGAAAGCCAGCCTCAACTGGCCAGACCAGGGACGCTCCTGATTGAGCTGGACGCTGGGTCACATATCTGCTTCAATTTCAACACCTGACGGTACCAAGTAGAGCTCAACGCAGTCTCGTATGTTGTTGTGCAAACAGGGGCCAATGCACTCCACCAACTTGCGTCCGTCAATCGTTCGTCGATCGTTCTTTCCATGGCTGGATTCCTTTGCGCTCGTTTTGCCCTGGAACCTTTCCACCTAGGCATTTGGGCATGTGGCATTCAGACCAAACGCATGATATCTCGAGTGTGTGGGTGGGAGTGGCCAATGGGCCTCCCCACCCCCAAACAAACTTATTCGGAAGCGCGTTCTGCGGTAGGGAGGTGTTTCCCCAAAGACCGGTATTGAGTGGGGGGTGGACACGGGGTTCCCCACCACCAAAATGGCTTGTTTTTTTCTGCCTTGACACTGCGTCTATGGTTTGATGACCGGCGCGACTGGCATGTTGGTCATGTTGGAAACATTTGCTTGGAAGAAAGGGTCCCTAATTGTAAGCGTTGTTTTTTGCAAGTATATAATTGCTTACCAAATTTCCACATTTGCAACTTCCGGCACTGAGTGGAGCGAGTGCAGAGGTACAAACATTGAGAAACCAAGCAGTTCAGAGCTATGCTACGGTGCCGAACCATTTTGTCCTGCCCTGGCCCCAACATTTGTGATTTTGTGTGTACTCATGATGAGTTCACGTTTGAGCCTTTTTTCATAAAAGCCGAGAACCTGGTGCAAGCTTTCTCTAAGGCCACGACCACCATCACATCTTCCATAAGTATCACCAGAACAGCGACCACTTCAACTGCCACTGTTGGAGCGGCAGACATTGGGAGTTGAAGTTCTGCTTTGACATTGACAATATACTTGTAGGTAGGGTGAAGAGGTGCACAGGTGTTGGCCAAAACTCGCAGATGTTGTCAGACCGGTGGAGCCTGAGGTAGTGACAAAAACTACCACACGAGGAGTACGGGATGGCTGGGAATGCGCCGGAAACTAAGATTTGGTCAGGCAAACTCTAATTAGAGCCAAGCGGGATGTCGGTTTTTGTCTCAGAATGCTTAGCATGAGATTCCTGAACCATGAGTTGGTTGGGGTTCTCGTAGAGATGTGGAGCGCTGTGAACACAGACATTCCCACAGGCATTCCGCCCTTTCAGGTTCCGCTGGAAACAAACGACTGCGTTCCTGCACAGATAGTGTTACCCTCAGAACTTGAAACTTTGAGTATTGTTTTTTTTTAATACTGTACTTGTTTAAAACCTACATAATGTAATTAAATATGCATATATATATATATATGTGAAGTGGCTCATGAACGCGGTTTTCCAACCAACCCTAGGGGCACTTGATCTAATGTTCGCGGAATGGCTGAACAATGAAATTTGCACTCCCCCCCATTCCCCATTGGTAGAGGGTGAGTTACAGCCTGGAGGAAACATTCGATCAAACCAACAACCGCACACAAAAGAAAACCCGGCACACAACCAAACAAACTAGGAGTCCTTGTTGCTCTGTGGTTGTTGCTGTTGCTGGTGTTCCATCTGTTCAGGTTGTGATGGTGTATGTTGTGTGTCCTCGATATCGACGAGTTTAAATCCTGCTGCCCTGCGCTTCTTCTGGGATGCTCGAACTTCATCATGTCGAATCCTCCACCGTTGTCCAAGTTGTAGGTACAGCCAACCTTGACCCTTCTCTGAAGTTTTTGTCAAAACATTGGCTAACATGCCTCCTCCATCGACCCAGCAAATCTCCACATCGCCCTTCAACAGATTCTGTCTGAGACTCATGGCCTCTATGCCGGATCTTTTCTCTGTGCCTTTCACTGATGGAGTGGCACGGACCAACTTGTCACTTGTCAAAAAGGTTCTTTGCATCCGTAATGAAAAGTCCCTTGACCTGTTTTGCGGTGCTGTCAACATCTCTTGTATTTACTGTCTTTCCCTGCATCTCTGCCCACAAAAATCGTAAAAAGGTAAGGTCGTCTTCTCCGTCTAGTCCAGCCATGCATTCAGCGCTTGCCGGAGATCGACAGATCCTATCGATCTTACCGGACCGCCAATGAATTGCTGTCACCCGAGCTTCTTGACCTTCCCTCAGATGTCTTGTGGTCATCCCCATGAAGATCCCTTCCGCCGATTGGCATGAGCAGCATCTGTCCAGACTGCTAACTCTAATTCTTCCTTTGGATCAAAGGCGTGTATCTTGTACACCTGGTCTGCAGTCTTTTTGATGTTCCGAATCAACTTGTTGGTTTCATTGATGTCGGACACGGTGCTAGTTGGTACCTTTGTCAGCAAAATATCAACAGCGAAATAGATACTGTCTGACTTGTCAGCCATGACAATGAACCCAAAGCTCCTCTCTTCATGGTCTTCTCATGATCTGTAGTAGGGCTCTCTGTTACCCTGCTTCTATCTCTAGACAAACGAATCTCCTCTAAGTCGTTGATGAACTTTGATTGTCGCATGTCAATGCTGTAATCTGGGTTCTGTTGTATTTCAATGCCACATTGAACAAAGTGCTGACTCTCCCAGGTGCCCCACTTGAACCGTGTTTTCAATGCTTGCATCAGGCCTTGGTGGTCTGCACACCCTACGGCACCTGCGAACCAGAAATCGTCCACATGGGCATGAACTGCGCTTTTCACAACTCCAGTTTTGTCAGTCCAAATCCAACAACATGGTTCCACCTCCAGTTGTCTGTAGCCCAAGGTTTGTAGATATTTGTTCACGCTATTGTGCCAATGCAAGGGTGCTTGAACCAATCCGTATGCTGCCTTCTTCATGAGCATCACGGAGTCATCTGCTAGGCCGTAGGCTTGGGTGATTTCCTTGACCGGACGACACCAGATTTCTTGCTCCAGGTCATCTCCCTGAAGGAATGCACCAGAAATGTCTCCCTTCTCCAACACCCATTGTCGCCAAGCTGTCGTCTGTAAAAACAATTGACGCCCAGCTCGTGATGGCGTGGGTGCCGCTGTCGGTCTTTCTGAGTACTGTATCTTGGGTCTTGATAACCCAAAACGATGGCCCTTGCTTTGGCCTTTTTGTTGTCATCATCAAACTTCCAACTCAACAGCCATCGCATGCCCACCACTTTGCCTCATCAACATGTTTGCGTGCTGCCTCTGCCTCAAAACATTCCGAAGCCACAAAATTTCTCACCTCCTTTTGTTTTGCCTGAATGAACTGAAGAACCTCTTCTTTGGTCAGCTTCTTCTCATTCACTTCAAGCTGTTTCTTTCGCATTATGCTACATATGTAGGCTTCAGGGTTGTTTGCAGCCACGTTTGGATGTAGGCATATCGATGTGCACTTCGATGGCCTGTAAATTTTCCTCAACTGCATAGAAGGCCTCCAAGTCGACCTGGGCTTGAAAACCCTGGTGACCTGACGAGGGTCCACCTGGGTTCTCCAGAGATGGTTCAGCTGGTGACATCTCCAGATCACTGTCCTCTGTCTCCATGGGTTCAGTCATAGTTTTCCTCTTCTTTTCTGCAAGTCTTTCTATCTCATTGTCGCCGCCATGGTCATCCTCTTTTTGAACTCCCCGTGGTGGATCTTGAGGGTATCTGACCAGCGGCCCCTTCTCTGTATGTCGTCTTGTTGGTGCTTCTCCTGTCCTGCTGTTTAATCCTGTAGGTAATTCTGCTGCCTGCTCCCACTGACCCTCTGTTGGTTTCTCTTGGGATATGTCAAGGAATGTTCGACGTTTCGGGTCTGTTGCAATTGCTGTGATGGTCCATGGTAGTTCCACCGGTCCTTTCAAGGTTTCCAACTGTTGTTCATAACTTGATGCGGGTCGCAACTGCTCTGGAGCTGCTCGCAACAATCTGCCTGCACGATGAAGCCAAACAATGGACCCCGGTCTCAAATTGCCCTCCAAGTCCTTTCGTGTCTCAGTTGCCAAAACACGAGCCGGTCCCAGGAATCTGCCAACTGATTGTGTTGTTTGCCCTTCAATGGAACTTGGTTTCGCCAGTAGTATACCAGGTCTCCGGGTACATAGTCCACAATGCGACGAGTTCCACTGCGCTGTGCTCTTTCTAGTCGTCTCTTTGCAATCTCTTCTGCAAATTCCTGAGTTGCCGTCATCCTGGCTTGGATGTCTTCCTTGAAGCCTCCATCATCCAACAGACTTGGGTGTACTGGTCGTATTGTTGGGTCCTCAAAGAATCTACCATACTCATCGGGAGCCCGACCCAAAACTTCTTGTAATGGTGTATATCCCCTGTACTGCTCTTCATTGTTGCATACCCAGGTACTTCTAGCTATGACCTCGGTGGCCTCCATCTCAGGGAATTCCTCACTCAACTTTTCAGCCACGCCTTTCAACGTTTTTGTTGCTCCTTCAACTAAGCCGATCTGCCAGTGACTCTCCCCTGCTATGGTGACATGCTCGGTGCCTTTGTTGCCAAAGTATCTGTCGGCCTCGTCTGACGTCCAAGGCCCTCCTGGATCGCAGCGGATGACTTTTGGGTGTCCAAAAATTGCAAACCATTGTTCTTCCAAAATCTGTTTGATCTTTTCCCACGTGGTTTTGTTTCCCCTCCCGGTACTAGCAATTCTTGTCATTCGGAAGCGGGTTGCCTCATCAATCATCACCAGGACATGTTGTTTCTCTTTTGTATGTGGATGCATCCAAGTGAACATATCAACCTGCAATCTCTCCCACTTCTGAGGAATGGTTTCCAACGTTGCAAAATGTCTTGGATCTTTACGATGTCGATGTTCACAAATTGTGCACTTCCACTCTCTCGCAACTTGTAACACTTTGGGGCGAGCTGCGCGGAGTTCTAAGGCCTTGATCAGATTAGACATGTTGCTATGTCCCGTACTGCAGTGTATCCTCTGTATTTTCCGGATGATCTCCTTTCGCTCATGCCTCCGGAATCTCAAGTTGTTCTGCTGCCTGTACTTCATGTTGGACTGCTGCTTGAGGTTGTTGGTCATGAAGTTCATCAATCCTGGACCAAACTTCACATTCCGTCGACGAATCCACAACTTTCCGAGCGAAGGCCGATGTGTACCGTGCTGTATGTGCTGTTTCCCCTCGTTCACAACGTCGCTTGGGATGGTTCTTTTGACAGCGTAGGTCCAAATGTTGTATTAGTGCTTTGTTCTTGGTGGTAATCGTCCAAGCCTTGCACAATGCTGTCTTGTTGTCCCTAGTTCTGAGTCCCACGGTGCACCCATTGCAAGAAACTCTTTTCTTTTTTCGACCATGCCGCTGTTCATAGTCTTGTAAAAAGTCCAAGTGCCAAGCCTGACATCTTTGCGTCAACTCCCAATGAACCTCTGTCCCTACTTTCCAAGCTGCCTCAGCTACCTCAATGGCTCCTCGGTACTGAACCTTTGCTCTTTCTTGTTTGTCATCTAACCGAGCTGCTTGTTCTGGGGTTCTTCGATTGATGGCTTGTAAGGGACAAAAAGGTGCACAATCACATGAAATCCACAAATGAACTGGTCGGAGTTGTCGAATCTTTCGCTTGGCCAAGTCTACACCGGCCTGAGTCGCTAGATTGGCACCATTCCAATCCGACAAGCGAAAAGCCGAGCCCTGACCAAATCGTCTCTCAACCTCCGTTGATAAAATACTATTTGGATAACATGCCAATTCTACCAACAAAGGTCGTTGACTCCAAACAAGGGTTTGCCAGCTTTGACTTTGACTGAATGGATTTCGCTGTAAGTGCCATATCTTAGCCATGGTCAGGGCTGACTCCTCTGATAGAGGAGCCTCAGAGATGCACCGGTCTCTCACATCTCCTTCCGGTTCTTGTGCCTGCCCTCCGTGTGACTCAGCGTGGCCTTCTCCACCTGCAGTGCTGCCTCTTGCTCTGCCACTGCCTGGATCTTGTTCTGCAAGGTCTGACGCATCTGTTCCAGCTCCGCCAACTCTTGCACCATCTGGGTCTGAACTGGATGTTCCTGCCCCGGAAGGTAGCCCTTGGTTTCCACCACCGTGAAGCTCCCCACACTGCTGTCTGCCTTGCTGGAGGTCTTGGTCGGTGTGGCGATGTTGACCTCCATGATGGCTTTTTGATGCTTCTGCTGTTGCAGCCATCGCGCAAACCGGCGAAGACGCCAGTGAGGGCTGTCGCTCTCCTGATTCGTCGTGAGGACCCATGACGCATAGCTCGGGTGCTCGCTCCACACCTCGAGATACGTCTTGTCCCCATACTTCCCAAATCCCACGAACTCGTTGTCCTCGGGCTCGAAGAGTGCATGAATCTCCTTTTCTCCCTGGGCCACCATCTGAGATATGGTGCGATTTGGGTTCACTGGAATGCCCAAGTCCTTCAGGTGCTCCATCAGGTTTCCCTTGAGGCGGCTTGCTTGGTGCAGATTCTTTAGCTTTCCCTTCAGGGTACTCTCTGGGTTTACCTTGTTCTCGGCCTTGATCTCTGTGAGTCGGGCCTTGATCTGGGGAATAGTCCACTTCTCCGGAACTGTCTCGCACAGGCTGCGGAGCTGTTCGAGCAAGGAGCCATGGTGGTCACCAACACAAGGGCACGGAATCGAGTCACAAAATGCTTGAGCTGGCAGTTGCTGTGTAGTGGTAAAATTGATGTGTGGTTCAACAGGCTCGTGCTGCTGAGGTTGCTTGTTGTTGTTGTTGTTGTTGTTGTTGTTGTTGTTGTTGTTGTTGTGGTGGTGTGTCGACTCCGAACTCCAAAAATCATCACACAAATAACATCTTTGGTTCCTCCAGGACTTTAGAAAACTCTCAGGACATTGTTCAAAATCAATGTCTGTCCCCACTTCCATTCGACTCTGGTCTGATTGGAGGATATCTAACCCCTGAACTTGGCTCCCCTGACCCACCGACGTGTCCATTTTGCCAGAGGAGGAGTGTCCCTATTCAGACAACAAGTTCAAAAATTCTGACGCTCTCGTGACGCCTCCCTGAAGCAGATTTCCTGCCAGGGGCATCAGCAGATGTCCATTCTGCGCCTCCGTGAGTGGAACCACGGTCTTCTTGTCAACGTTCTTGTACTGTAAATCACCTGATTGGCTTCAAAGTCGATCACGGCTCCGAGTGACTTCAGAGCTTTCCGAGACACCAGCACTGGTTGCTGTGGGGAATCATGGATGTGAACCTCCATGCTTCCATTCTTCGGACCTGCCTGCATCTGCACTTGTGCTGTCGACACACAGGCTATTGACATCCCGTTTCCAAACTTGAAGACGGGTCGTTTGTCCAGATCCAAATGAATCTTGGAATCCCCACTCTGCTCAATGTTCTGTAGTGCCAATGCCTCCATCGATCCTAATGAAGCTGTTGCCCCCGAATCAATGATTCCCATGCACTGATTCATCACTGTACTGGCCACCTGAGCTGCCTCCACAGCTGCCCCGGCAACTGTGCGCTCACGGTGTCCAAACCATGATCCTCTGTCATGACAAAGGCGATCTCGGCAGCTTCTTCTGCCACTTTGGCCTCACTCTTTCAGTGAGGACATTGTGCTTGCATGTGTGGGCTACCGCAACGGAAGCACTGGATCTGATCTTTAGCTCTGTCACCTTTTCCAGCCCCTTTTGGAAAAGGACGAGGTGGGTAGTAGTTGCGACCCAGTCGAATCTGTTTCTGGTTCCAGCGAGCTTCCTTCAAGGTGGCCTTCTGAACTTTGATGGCTTCGAGTGCACTGTCGATCTTGGCCTATTCACAGGCGAATGCCTCCATGGTCTCACTGTCCTCACTGTAGAAGGGTTCTTCTTCTCCCAGCAAAGCTTCGTCGGTCTTCTGGTCCTCGTGGTCAACAAAGCACGCACTTTGCTTCTGCTTGTCCCGTTTTGCTAAATCACTGTCGGACCACTGTTCCCTCAATGCTTTGCCAACTGTCGTAGTGGAGAACTCACCCTTGATGGTGGCCAAGATGTTTGATTTCTCATTCGGCTCAAGACGACTCCGGTGTAGCAACAGGAACCCTGCGAGGAACTCCGGTATGAAAATGTCCTCACTAGAGTCCCATGTTGCTGGAGGTTCATACTCAGCTGAATGCCACGATGACTCAGCCCAGCGATCTTGGGAGCTCTCCCATGATCCTGCCCATGCGGCATGATGCCACAGACCCTCTTCACCTTGGTCCCCAGCCTCTGACTGTGGTCCTTCATCTTCGGCAAGTCTGACCTTGTTGAAGGTGCTCGCCAATCCTTCCATGGATCCTGCGTGTTCCCCTTCTGCAGCTTGTCACGGCCTGCACCCCCATAGTCCTTTTGGACTCGACGAAGAGCTGCCGAGGCCTCCCACAAGGCCTCTGCATGCCTTGATGACCACTCCGTCATAGTTTACCCAGATTGTAGAAAAACTTAATGACATGTCGACTGGCCTCGATCAAGCTGGGTCTTGCTAGGTGTTCCTCCAGAAACTCCAACAGTGTATAGGCGCCCCTACATTGTGACAACCACTGTGGATCCCGGAGGGTTGCAGGCCGAGTGATGGTGCGTGCCACTCCTGTCAACTCTCTCAACAGTCGAGGCCCCACCAAATACCTTTTGTGCCACTCAACACCCATCAAATATTGGATCACCTTCTCCTTGTACATCGGTAACATTTCTGGTTTCCCATCGAACCTAGGAATCCTCTCATCCATACCACCTCCGCCGTCTGGCATCTAGTGGTCCGCCCTGGATCTTCGTCCACGCGAAACAGCCTCTGTCTTCAGCCGCGCTTCCAACAGAAATAGTGCAACCAGGCTCAAAAAGCTACCATGTGAAGTGGCTCATGAACGCGGTTTTCCAACCAACCCTAGGGGCACTTGATCTATATAATGTTCGCGGAATGGCTGAACAATGAATTTTTCACATATATATAATATATATATATATACCAACGGCTAGGGAAGGTGCAGGTGCCATGGGGCATAACCTATTTTTTGAGGTTTGTTTTGGCGTTGATTCACTTCAACTGCAGCCCTTTCATGACCAGGCAGCATCTCAGTGTGGTGCGCACTGTTCATGTTGCAGAAGGAGCACTACGCAGGCACTGCAAGTCGCCGACATTGATGTAAGTCAGTGGCGCATGTCATGCCATCGTATAAGTGCACGCACCTTTGAAATTTATGTTTCTCCTCTTTGCAATTGCATGCGAGTATTAAGCCACAGGGGGGTATAAGAGTGACTTGATGGGTTTGAGCAGCAACCCTCGTTGCACCCCATGAAAGCGCAGCCGCATTTTGTTGAAGGAGCCACAAGAATACGTAGAAGGCCCACCACACAGCTTGCTGAAGTCGCCTTGGCAGGCTCCTTTTATTCCTACCCGCACCACAACAACGGCCCCCCCATCAGTTGCTTGCTCAATTTGCAGCACTCTCTGTTGCTTGACCTTGCAACTGTAACCTTGATAATCTTGCAGTCATTCCAAACAATCATCGATGCTGCCACTCCGCCCTCCCCTTCACGAAATCGGAGCTGAAGCTTGTTCGCAGGATGACTCATATGGTTTGTGGATAGCTTAGAAGAGGTTATCAAGTCATTGAGTCATTGGTGCTGATCAACATAAACCACTGCTGAGTTGCTCCGGCTTCGAAGCTCCAGTAATATTACACTGGTTTCACTGCTTTGAAGCTTTGAGGCTGATTGCTGTCCTTGTTGGGTTGGTGCTGACGGCTGCCCGTGGCACAGCTTTGAAGCTTCAGTCTTGCCCTGTCTCGGGTTGAGCTTAAGGCCTGTTTCATTGTCGTTTTTGCTGTCGTTGGGTGGCGCTACTACAATAGCAAGCCGCGCCTTAATTGCATTTTGCAATCCGCATGTAGACGCCTAGACGCCTGTATTATGCCACTGACATCCAAAGCATAAGTGTTGACGCGCGAAGCGTGAGTGCTAAGCCGCCAGTTTAAGCTACTAGTGCTACTATTGCAGTTCGTTACGGCATTCCTCACTGCGATTGTAATGGCTGCTGGGAAGACATCAATCCTTAGCTGTAGCTGCAACCGGCAATCACCCATCAAGGCCTTTGGTGCAATGAGTGCGAAAATCGCCGGAATTCTCACGTGACGTTATGGTTGAAATTACTTTACTTCGAGTGATCCCCACCATGACATTTCAGTCATTTGTCTTGATGCCATAGTCAGGAGCATGTTGCCATGGTCGTGAGTATTGTAGTTCTCAATTTTGCTTGTGGCTCCTCGGGTTGTGTGTTGCGGTTGTGGTTGTGTGTTGTGTTGCGGTTGTTGTTGTGGTTGTGGTTGTGTGCTGTGTTGCGGCTGTGTTTGTGTTTGTGATTTTGTGTTTGTGGCCGTGTGTTTGTGTGTGTGTTTGTGGATGTGTTAGCGGTTGTGTTTGTGGCTGTGTGTTTGTGATTGTGTTTGTGGCTGTGTGTTTGTGATTGTGTTTGTGGTACTGGTAGTGGTTGTGATTGTGTGTTTGTGGTTGTGGTTGTGGCTGTGTCTTTGTGATTGTGTGTTTGTAGTTGTGGTTGCGTCGTTGTGGTTGTTTTTGTGGTTGTGTGCTTACGGTTGTGTGTTTGTGGTTGTGTGCTTGTGGTTGTGTGTGTGTGGTTGTGTTTTTGGTTGTGTGTTCGTGACTGTCTGTTCTGGCAGTGTTTGTAGTTGTGTGTTTGTGGTTGTGTGTTTTTGTTATGTGTTTGTGGTTAGATAATGTTAGTGTTTGTAATTGCGATTGTGATTGTGTGTTTGTGATTGCCTTTTTCTGGCTGTGTTTGTAGTTGTGTGTTTGTTGTTGTGTTTGTGGTTGTGTGTTTGTAATTGTGGTTGCGGTTGTGTGCTGTGGTTGAGGTCCGGCAGGGAACGCTGGGCGTGGATGGTCGTGGTTGAGGTCCGGCAGGGAACACTGGGCGTGGATGGTCGTGGTTGAGGT